CAATTATAAAAGTTCATGTAGCTCACAGCTGCATAGGCTCAGTCTCCAAGGTCAGGTGGCTCTTGTGCCCAGAGAGCTAAGAATGGCCAGCAGATGTATGGTGTAGTGCCCAAATAAGAACAGCATTTAGAGGGTGAACATCTGGCCACCCCACATAAAGGAATACCCTTTGTGAATGGGCCAGGGGGATTTTAAGAAAAGCCTCTTTTCCAACCTCAGCCAAGTGAACAAGGAACTTTGGAAAGAGGTCCCGGGCCTCAGAGATCAAAAAATTTCTGTGGATGACTCAGAAGGATAGTGAGGGTTGAGGCCTCTGTGGTCCATAGGCATAAGTGGGCCCGTCTCTTGTAGAACTCATGTGGGTTTGTTCACCTTCAGGATGGGAGTTCTCATGTTTCCTGTTGGGATTCTGCCATGGAATATTCCTCAGCAACTAGAAGGAAGCGACAACCGCCTTCACCTGATGAGGTAGGAGACTCTCCAATGCATCGGGCCCAGTAAGAGGAGCCCAGCTCGCAAGCTGTGCCCTACTCCGTTCCACATATATGACCTCCTATAAAAAGGTGGAACTGCAGGTGCAGGAAGCAAATCACGGACTTCCAGGGGGCTGGTCTTGGGGGATGATGATCACAGTCGGGTAGTAGGAGGAAGGCTTCAAGGGGGCTGATGCAAATATTCTGTGTCATGGTTATAGGAGTGAGTTGGTTGCATACATTTGTCAACATTCAAAGGCTATTTGCTTACTGTATGCCATGAATGCCTTTAAAAAACCTTAAAATTCACAAAATGAGATGCCACTGCACCCTTACTAGCATGGCTAAAATGACTGACCAAGTGTTGATGAGGATCTGGAGCAACTGGAACTCCTGTGCATTGTTGGTGGGAATGCAAATAAAGTTTATGGAGAAAAAGAGAGATGGGGTTTGGAGGACAGATGGAACTGAGCTTGACAATAGACACTGGGCAACATTGGGATTCTAGGGCTCACTTTGTTCACCAATGTGCATGCTGACAGTAGTACAAGTTTGCCTGCTTGGCAGAAGGATTGTAAAGAAAGAAGAAAATGTTCGCAGAATGCTTAGTACAGTGCTTGAGCTGGGGACTCAAAATGAGGTCTTGCTGATCATTATGTTGTCATTTTTGTAACTAATGTCTCTAGGTTTCCCTAGAGATGGAAGGGCGCCTCTCTGTGTAGCACTCTGCTTTGTTGTTGGCAAAACTCTGAATGCATGTTTGTCATACGAGAGAATGAACAAAAGAAGTCACATGCCAGTGGTGGGCATGGGGCCTCGACGCGAGTGGGCCTGCTGCAGGGAGGGAGCAGTCACTCTTGGGAGGGTTCCATTCGGAATGCACATGAGCTAATGTTTGGCTCCTCAGTGTGACATCCGGTTGTCCCCTTAGGTTGAAAAGTTCAGGAATTCTGTTCTACTTGCTCTAGGGGACTTGGAGAGGTGGTCTGCCTCCTATTGCGCTCCTAAACATTTACACAAGTGTTCAATCTCAAGTATGTGGGTTTAAAAAAAACTTGTCCAAGAAAGCCTAAAGAAAAGACCTCTTTGAATCTGAATGTTCTTGCTGGGAATGTATATAGAAGGTGGGGAATGTACTGAAATTGTGTTTAGGAGCCAGCGGATGGCAAGAGGATTCCAAAGGGAAGATTAAAATCTTGGTGAAATTTCCACAAGAGCACCCTGGACAGGGATGGTTCATCAAGTTCCGAGGGGTCTGAGCAGCCCCTCTGAGGGGATGGAGGCATAGCTGTGTAGCATCAAGAGGTGGAACTGGTGCTTACTGGAAGCAGTGCCCCAACTTCAGTGGCTTAATATGCTGTACCACAACCCTGGTCTTAAGTTCTCTCTTTTAGCATTCAATGCACATTTAAAATTTATTCTTACTTTGTATACAGTAGGTAATTTACATCTTGTTATGACATATATTTAGTTTTTGGAAAATATTCATTGCATGAAGGTCCCGATTGCTATTAAATATTAGTTTGTACCTTTTATTCAAGCTAAAAGATGGTACACAATTTCACACACACAAAAAATCTGATTCTGGGGCAGAATGGGAATGCTTCTAGACCGGATCACAAATATACTATCCACAGTGTCAGTCCACCTCCGGCTGCCACAAGGATTTGCACACTTGTGAGCTAGGAGTTGCCAAGACCAGTGGGATTATACAGAAAACAGTGTAACCAACAAATAGCCAGGTTTCTCAAAGCTTTGCATCCCTTCAGAGCTGCATGGCCTTGTGCAGCCCATGCCACGGAGCACACAGGCCTTCCCTTTCCCTGGCCTCCATCATATCCCCGCCATTCCTGCTTCCCGTGGTGTGACTCCTGCCCCAGCCTCTCCCTGCTCCCTCCCTCCTCTGTCCTAGTGCAGTCTGCTCCTCGGATAGGCTTGCTCTACTTCCAAGAGGCCTGTGGGAGGGCCTCAAGTTGGACCCTGACTTCTCCAGATGGTGGTTTGGCACTCCCAGTCCAGATTCTCTGTCAATTCCTCTCATGGGGAAACTTAGGCAAGCATGCAGACCTAGGGAGAGAGAACTGGACTATCCATCTGCCTGTGCCGAGGTTGAAGCAGTCACAGAGGAATGCAAGTATGTACTCAAGCATAACATACAAACATGTCCACCATGGAGACATCAAATCTGTGAGGCAAACTTTTGTTTACTGCCAAAGAAATTCCCATTATATCATGAAGGACAGAAAGCAGGCACAAAACTGTTTATCATCACTGATAAAATGTCCTGTATATATATAAAACAAAATTCAAGAAGGATGAATGCCATCTTTGAGCCACAGAAGTGCATTATGTATTTTTTTGCATTCTCCATATGTATTCCACAATTAAATAAGAGGTATGTTCCAGAAAAAGTTGCTCTTTTAAAAGGATTCATTTGGAAGGCAGAATGTCAGAGAGAGGCATCTCCCATCTACTGGTTCAATCCCTAAATGCCACCAACAGCCAAGGCTGGGCCATGCCAAAGCCAGGAATCAGGAACTCTATCTGGGTCTCCCACATGTGGAGACTGTAGGAGAGACCATTAATCCACTCATCTCCCAGGGGTCATTAGCAGGGAGCTGGCTCAGGAGGAGAGTAGCCAGGTCTGAAGTATGTATTCTGATGTGAACTTGTCCCAGGCAGTTTAACCCTCTGAGCCATAATGCTGGCCCCATGAACACAGTCATTTGTCATTTCCCAGGAAGATGCAGATGGCTGTGCTGTAGAAGTGCAGATCCAGAAGTGTGGGTATATGTGTGGGTGTCAATATCTTCCTGTGTGTGTGCAAGGAACCAGAAGGCTGGCCATCTTTACACTGATTTTACCATCAGGACTCCAGGTTGTGACAGAAATGCCCTAGAGGCTCTGTTGGCATGATTGAAAACCGTGTCAGCGGGGCCTTGCCCTGTCTCGGCGGTCTCGGACATGTTGGAGGCTACAGACTCTCCATGCGGTGGTGAGATGGTTCTTGTTGGCCTGGCACCTGGCTCACCCCAGTTCCAGGAGACTTGGTTCTCTCCCAACAATCCCAGAGAGAGTACGGGAGGGTCTTGCTCAGCCACATTGGCGTCTCTTGGTCAGCAGCAGCAGCAGCAGCAGCAGCAGCTGGTCCCAAGCCAGAGGGATGCAATGTTTAAGAGTCTCAGTTTCCAGGGTGAGGTCCGGCCCTCTAGAAGCCCAGCACTGGGCTTGTATCAAGCTGTTTCTCCTTGGGGGGTCCATTGGCTATAGACACAGCATATGACAAAGTAAGAGGCAGGCATGTGGTTCCTCAGTGGTCTGTGCAAGTGCAGAAGAACATCTCCATCCTTCTAGTTCATATTTTGCAAAGTCACAAAGGCACTACTGGCAGCGATCATCACCTGCATTGTCCATCAGAGAGTAAGGAATGATTGATGGCCATTGTGGCGTTGGTTGTCTCAGTGCCTGAGAGCAGGGAGTAGCTGTTGGGGAGGGATGGGGAGGGATTGCTAATGTGCACTGGGTTGAGCCTCTGGGCAGAGTCAGAATAAAATAAGACAAATGGGGAACCTATTTAGACAAAATAAATATTCAATGGATTTAGCTGGTCTTTGCCTTCCTAAATCAGTGAGGCAATTTCAGTCCTGGCGCTGGCGAACCTTATTGGAGAGCAGGATTTCCCGAGGGTTGCCAATTGCCTCTGGGAAGTCACAGCTGGAGAGAGCACAGAGCGTGACTAATTGCCAGTCACAGAAGGAAAGAGTTTTCAGACAACCAGGTTTAATTCACAATATTATAACATTTAATTCATAATATTCAGATAAGCTCACACACACACACACACACACACACACACTGCTTATCTCACTTGATTTTGCTTGTTCAAACAACTCCTTTACCACTACTTCCCTAGAAACATGACAATGCTTGTCTAGAAGCATTTAGTGTCTAACAGCACGCATCAGCATTGTAAGGTTCCTGGTGAAGTCACAAAAAAAAAAGCCTTCCCACTGCGGAACGATGTGGTTAGTTAAGACATGTTTTCCGAGATGCCTAGCTAGTTTTGTGAAGGTGTCATATTTCTGAACTTGCTGGCAATCTGGTTATTCAGCCCTAAAAAGCAGGGGGGCTCTGACACGTGCTGCCGCGGGGCTGAGCCCTGGGGACAGGGGTGTGGAGTGAAACACACCCCTCACAAGAGGACTGTTAACTGACTCAGCCACATAGGGCATCTAGATTCATGGAGATGGAGTAGGATTGTGATGTCTGGCTCAGTGGGCACATTAGCAGGGATCTGATCGGCACCCATATGGGATGCCAGCACTGTAGGCAGAGGTTTAACGTGCCATGAGTCAACACTGGCCGCCATAAATCACTCTTTGACATGGATTCCACCCAGCACCCTATTGCCAAAGTTTGGATGTGAGCTTGAACATCCTATTGCAAATGCAGTTAACACTTTTCCCATGGGCCTCCCTATCATCCCTTTCCCGTCCAGCCACAACCGCAGGTGCACACAACTCTTACCAGGTAGGCTCTCCAGAAGGACTGGATGGCGATTGCTGCTTGCTCTTCTGTCAGCAGAAGGGAGAGGAGGATTGGTGGCCGTGGGCTGAAAAGCAACAAAATGGAGTTTGTCTCTGAGTGTACATTCCAGGCCAGTGAAGTTGAAGTGCATGCATGCTTTTAGGTCCTGTAACACTGCCTGAAACAATGTCACCTCAAGATCTGCCCTGGTGGTATTTTCCACATCATGGTGGGAATTTGGATCGTAAGTGCCACCTTTAAAGTCACAACAGCGTACTCCTTTTTTTCTCCCAAATGTTTAACAGAGGCACTGACTGACAGGTCCTGGAAATCTAACTGCTTTCCTAGGTTTCCCCCCAAAGCACAGCACAGCCATCTCTGAAAAGCGAGGGGCATGACAGGATTTGCAGACCAAGAACAAAAGGGTAACTCTGACAGAACGTAGGTCACACAGAGGCTATCCCCCAATAGGGGAACCCCCAAAGTGACCCTGGAAATGGGCCGTGCTCTGGCGCCCTGGCCCCCAAGCTCTTCATGATGACAGCTGGGAGTCACAGTAACACTGCAGAGAGGTTAACTAACCCGCTCTACGTCACACACCCTGAAGATGGCCTAAACAGGGTCTGGGCCCAAACCCACCCAATCCGCCAAGCCCAGGGGTCCCTCCCTCAGGCATATTGACACCACTCCTCTCAAGGCAAACTGCAGCTGTCCAGTCTGGCACAGCAATAGCAAAGCTTAACTGGCAACAGGGCTCTATTCTACAGGGTCTGGGGTTTTGATTTCCCTCTGTACTTTTCACTTAAAAAGCCAAGAGAAAAAGGACACCTTGATTTGGGCCATAATTACTTGAATGAATAAATGCTCTTTTGAATGACTCCAGAATCAATGAAAGGCAAGCCAGGAGGACCATGGGGTTATTGAGATCTCTGGCGGGTGTGGCCTCATCCCAGCCTCTGGCTTTCAGGCTGTGAGAGGAGACGGAGACTTTTATGGAGAGATGATTACACCCCGCAAAATGATAGCATTGTCAGAAACCTTTCCTAATGTCCACTTTTCCATTCTCCCTCTCTCTGCTCTGTTTTTGTGTTCACCTGCCCTTGCTTGATCTCTGGCTTTCTGGACTGTGACCAGAGCATGAGTCTCAGGCCAGACACCTGCCACGGGAGGCCCACTGGCTCCCGGCTTTGCGCTGCAAGTGGTCCCATCCATCGACTTTATCCTCTCAGTCTCAGCATCATCAAGCCATATCCCCAGGAGAATCCCCCTTTGCAGGTTAGAAAACCACCTTGGCCTTGTCTTTGAATGGAGCACTGACATGTAGAATGTGATTTGATGTTCAGTGCCCTTTCCCACCCCCTTCCCACTGACCTTGCAACCCCGTGGCTCCCACTGTGCTGCCCCTGTCAGTCCCCTCATGTGCAGTGCTCCTTCCCGCCTCCGAGCCTTTTCTAAAGGTTATTCCCCTGCCTCAGACATTGCCTGATCCCCAACCAGGGGTACCTGTACAGTTGCACAGGTTGGAATCTATTCAAGGACATCCCTCTGCTAAAGCCCAGCCCAATCCCTGTCTGTAAGGCCATGTTTCTCAGTGTGGGTCTTTTTCTGATCTGCTCAAATACACCTTAAGGCTTGTGGGCGCTCCCTTCTTCAGCTTCCCTTTTATGCCTTTATCTATATATTTTTTAAAATAATTATTTGAAAGGCAGAGTGACAGAGAAGGACAGAGAGCTTCCACAGCGGGTTCACTCCCCAGGTGGCTGAGGAGTTGAGTCAGGCTGAAGCCAAGAGCCTGGTATTCCTTCCAGGTCTCCCGTGTCAGGAGCAGAGGCACAAGCACTTGGGCTATCTTTTGCGGCTCTCCCAGATGCCTTAGCAAGAGAGATGGATCAGAAGTTGGGTAACTGGGACTTGAACCAGTGCTCTGATATGGGATATGAGCATTGCAGGCAGCAGCTTAATGTGCTGTGTCAAGATGCTAGCACCTTATTCTTCAGTGTAATTTTTTTTTTAAAGTGCTTGAGCAGGTGAGAGCCCAGTGAAACTCCCTGGGATTTACCTCCCTAGTCCTTCCCCCAGTTTGGAGCTCTCTGCCCCTGTGGTTATCTGATGAATTGCCCCCATCTTCTCCTGGATTGGAAGACGCACAGGAACAGAGACCCATGCCCCACAGTTGCTCCTCTGTATTCTCAGCACTCCATGCAATGTCCAGCATGAAGTAGTCGCTCATTAAATGCTCAAGGGGAAGGTATGGTTGCCTCTGTGTGAGTTCTGAGCTGATTCAGTTAGTGCTGAAGGAGGGTGAACAGAGCATCCTGCTGAGAATGCAAACTGCCCAGGAAATGCGGGGAGTGGCCCCGAGGGAGGGACTCCAGTGCAAGTCCAGCAGCTGTTGGGTGTTACCCAGCAGGAAATGCAGTTGTTTTCCCAGAAAGAAAAGAACGCAATAGGGAAGCAAAAAGCCACAGTGATAGAGCCACGTCGTCTCCGTAGTGACCTGGGCAATGTGTGCCAGCATTGGGGCAGCTGAACAAAGTGTAGTTGTCACTGGTTTCACTGGGGAGACCTGGTGGCACCTCGGTGCTCAACTAGTGTTTTCCTGCCTTAAGTATGTTTTTCACTGCAGGTGGCACAAAGCCTCAGATCACAGGTACTCGTGTTTCACATGGGGTGGGAGGAAATGAACAGAAAAATCTCCCACACACAAGAGGGGTCAGGCCAACCCAAAAAAGAAAACCCTGACTCGCTCACTCTGCATCACAATGACATCTCCAAGAAGCAAAGTGAGGGACTTGAAGGGACACCGTGCATGACATCTCATGTTCTAGCTAAACAACAGGGTACTGTCTGGCTCCCAAAGCGAGACTCAGTATAAGCCCCAGTTCATTGGGCCAAATGGCATGGGATAGAGTCTCCCAAGGGGAGTCCCCAGGAATGACCAGTCATCTCAGCAGCCCAGGTCCCGTTCTCTCTTTTGCAGTCCGCACAACTGTTTTTGGGGCACAAAAAGCAGAGATGACTGCTCATCAGCAGGGGACCAGGGAGAGAAGAGCCAGGCAGCATGGTCCTGGTCATGGGAGAAGGCAGCTGAACTTCTCCAGGGCCTCCATTAGACATCAGAATCAGGCAGTGTGTTCAGGCAGGCACAACAGTATTGTGGAGCTGTTTCTCGGAGCTGTGTTCTTGGTGATGCTTGTTGCCTGTGCGTTTCATCTTACAAGTGCAAATGAAAGACATGACCCCTGAAAGTCAATGCTGTCACTCTGGAGGAAGGACAAAACTGTATTTTTCTGATTCTCTGTGTGTGTCGGTATAAATGCATGTGTTTGCATGCTCGTGCTTCTGCCCCCTTTGGGATGGGGAGGAAAAGAAATGCAGCATGTAAGGCAATAGAGCATGCTTACAAGATGCTAGAAGTCGGTCTCCGTCAGCTCCTCTGCCTAGTTCTAAGACAATCATGGAGACAGATCACATTCAAGCAGAATAGAATAGAAAGAAGGAACACTTGTTTGACACCAACAAATAATGGCTAGCATTGTGGTGTCGTGGGTAAAGCTGGTGTTGCAGACCAGCATTCCATACAGGTGCCAGCTCCTGTCCCAGCTGTTCTACTTCCCATCCAGCTCCGTGCTAGGGGCCTGTAAGAAGCAGCAGAGGGCTAGGGGCCCTGCCACCCACAAGGGAGACCTGGAAGGAGCTCCTGACTTGTGCCTGGCTGTTGTGGCCATATGGGAGAGTGAACCAGCAGATGAAAGATCCCTCTCTTGGTCTCTCCCATTCTAACTCACTCTTTTAAACAAATCTTCCTTAAAAAGTTAAATAACTGGACACTTAAGTTTGCGAATGCAAAGTCTGTCCACTTCTCATCAGGCATAAGATTAAGTTGTTTTCTTAGAATATGAAAGTCCTGTCTGGATGCAAAAGTCATTTATGAAGATGACCTGTATCTAAAGCCATCATCACCATCGAGCCTTGCAATGGTATCAGTAATGTCCACTCTTGGCGTTCAACAATGAGACCTTACCAGTCCTTGAGTTCCATTTGTATTAGCTTCCCAAATGATGAAGGCATCATGTTCTTAAGAGCTCCGAATATTGTGGAGAAGTACAATATATGTCTCAGGAGTGGTACTTATGGGTATATGATGATTAGCTCATTAAAGTGGATTCTCATAGGGTTTCTTCCACTCCAACCTCCTATGGTATGAGGTCCAAGTACCAGTAGTGCTTTCCTCCCTGGTGACCTTAAAGCCCATTTAGAAACCTAGGTTTCTGGGATGTGATCTTGCTCTCACCCACTGCCTGGGCTTGACCTTGGGGCATCAATACACCGTGACCACCCAGCACCAGGATAAGTCATGTGACTGGGTAAACAGAGAGGAGGTACATATTAGCAATTGTGTTGCTGGAGCTGCTGCATGTCTGGATAACAGGGCTCACTAAAAAGGAACAGCATGACCACATGCCTGCTGTGGGTGCATTGGGCATAGCCATCTCAAAAACCAAGGCAGTGGGGTGGGTGTTTAGCTAGTGATTAAGAGGACCATGGCTCACCTCATAATGCTGAGTTTGATTCTTGGCTCCAGCTCCTGCCCCTAGCTTCCTACAGATGTTTGGCCTGGTAGGTAGCAGTGATGGTTCAAGTTCATGGGTTCCTGCCACTCATGGTAGGAGACATGGATTGAGTTTATGACTCTCAGCTATGGCTCTAGCCCAGCAGTTGCAGACATTTGGAGAGTAAACCAGCTGATGGGAACTCTGTGTGTGTATCCTTCTCTAACTGGTTCAGTGATGTCTCTAATGCAACTCAAGGGGAACCTCCTCCTACTCCTTCTCCCCCTGGTCCAAGGAGTGAGCCCAAGATTGGGTGACTCCTTTATCTTTGTGCCACCAACTCCCTCTCTACTTTGGTGGTTTGGATTTCTTAGAATATTTTTTTAACAAGTTATAAGTAAGTAGGATTATAGCAGCCCAATTATGTTGAACTAGAGTCATCAAAATAGGAAAAGAACAGCTGGCAATGCAATGATACACATGCTTCATGATGACATAGAAAAAAACAACAGTACGTCAGTTTACAGCTGTA